AACTGAAAACATACAAATTATCATTTAAGCTATTTCAAGAGAGATGATTTTATTCTGAAAACAGAGGCAGGTATATTCCCTGGACATCAGACTACAGGGATATGATAAACACTGAGGACCAGTATACACCAGGTTTCAAGTACATTAGAGTCATGTACTTGACAACTGGTAAACCCTGCAAAAATAAAAAAAAAAAAAAAAAAGGACACTTTTAATCAAAACCTAAAACAGCCAGTAAAATGTATTTTTACTATTCTTGGATAACAGTCAAGATGATAGTAAACTGGGTTTGCTTCTAGCCATCCTTAAAATATTATTCAAAAATCATTTGCAACAAATGCAACTTGTTGTTTTGGGGGTTGAACAATAAATCAGTAAGGAAGCTCTTCCTATGTTAGAATGTACATTTAAAGATATTCGGTTCTGCAAGGAGACACAGGTCTCTCTAAATGCATGAATGTAATATGTAAGCATGATGATACGTGTACAGGTGCTCTGCACTACATTGTCAAGACGCACATGCACCCTCTTCAGGCAGTTTTTAGGCACACTAGCTTTATATAAGCAATTACTGCATAAACACTAGATTGTTTTGTTGCCTGTAACTTCTGAATTGCTTTTCAAAAAAAAGAGGAACTGAGGTTTAGTTATATATACCATGGGGGAAAAAATCTTACTTTTCTTGTTACTACACAAAGGTATTTTTAAAGGAAGATATTGTATTGGCAAGGGGTTGTACTATATGACATAACTAATTCCTGTTTCCCACCACATGACTGTCTACCTATAATAACTCTATTGAATATTTCCTCATACCAACTGTGGTGTTTATACCTAGAGTGACATCAATGTAATCCAGTTCAGTCCATTTTTAACATGTTACTTAAAAAAAATCCATTCCTCCACATCTCTTCCAAATGTCCCATTATCAAATATGTTTATTGCAAAATCTTAATTCTCAGTAAGATATAAGTACTATAACCATAGATTTATAATAAAATGAGTCTGTGTTTTACTAGTTATCCCCTGGATTTGTTTTATGGATTTAATAAATGATTTTAAGAGGGCTATCTTAATGCTGCCAAAAGAAAGTAAAATAATAAACACTGATAGCAACATTTAACAGTAGGCTACCAAAATGAAAACAAAGTGTTTCTAATAATGCAGACAACCTTCTGGGAAGTGGTATCTCCCCCAGGGAGCAAAAATATAAATCCTTGAAAATTCACTCCTGTAGATCTCACAAATGCATAGCTTTCCTCTCCATTCCCACCCCAATCCTCCCCAAAAGTGATTATCTATAATGTGTGGAGTATCTATAATATGGTGCCAAGTGTCACAGAGCAAAGAATGGTGGCCAGGGATATACTTACCCATTTCTATATCCCTGGACCTTCCCAGAGGAAAGCAAATTTTTGTTAGAAGCATGACAAGCTAACCAAAAGCACATGAGAAAAATTCATCAAGCGAGAAAATATATGCCCACATTCATGGGTCTATAATGTGCCCACTACATTTTAGTCATGGTCTAACTCGTACAGAGAATATAGCTTTTGGTAGAGAAAGAAAAGTAGATAAATGCTCTCTATTCCATGAGGAGGGGCCCCCTTTTATGTTAAATGTCGCTTACTCTTTGGATCACTCATCTTTTGGATTACTCTTAACCAAGCAGCTAGAGAAGAGCTGGTGAGGTAAGATGGCCAGTCTCTCTCCATTCTCAGAGGACCCACCAGGAGCATGGCAGGTTCCAGACCAAGGAGCATAGATTAGGCTATCCAGACCAGTTATATTCAAAGCATTTGGGAAGAGTCCACTTTAGAGCCCCAGTTTTTACATCCTGTGTCTTCTCATAAACAGATTAGTAAGGACCTGGGGGAAAGGCAGCCAAGATTTGGTGTGCCTCCAATCTAGGTAAAATGGGTAGTAGGGGCTCCCACACAGTCCTGGCCCATTCCCTGGGGTGGAAATCACATTGGAATTTGGCACCAAGGTTCAAGGAAGTTTAAATCCCCTTGAGTCCCTCGCCTCTTCTTTTAGCTGCCTAGCAGAGCTAGGGCAGTGTCTGGGCCTGGAGACTGGATAAAATTCAGCATTCCAGATTTTCCCAACTTATTCCATCTGAATGGCCAATAAGTGTAATATTTATAAACTATAACTATATTAAAAGCACAAGATGCAAGAAGTTCCACAGAGAAAGCATTTATTATATTTGCAGTACACCAGTATTTTAGGAAAGAATTATACATTTTTCATGAAATGAGGAAAAATTAACAATTGCAAATAGACAAATTTTCAGAAGTGAAAAGAGAAGTGGCCAATTAATAAGTCTATTTATCATTTGAAGATGAGTTTCTACATTGGTACAAATTAGGATTAAAGTTTGTTCTCTTTTGAACATGCATTCATTTTTCCTGATTACCTCTTGAAAAAACTTCTGAGACAACTAAACTTACCTCACATATTAGAGGTTAGTGATGGGGAAAGAGTGAGCTGATCTGAACTTAACTGGATTCGAAGATATGGTCCTCACACAGGTAGGTTGTACTTCCCTTTTAAAATATCTCCACCTTGCCCTTCCGTGAGGCTCATTCACACAACGCCAACTTACTGCTGGCCACCCCATGTAGCAGCACCACTCCTACATGCTAAAATGTAGCATGATCCAACTTTAAAACCACAGTACTGCTTTTATGTTATGTGCAATTCAGTCTAAAACTCAGCCACGTTTTGTTGCCTAAAATGCATCAGTGTTTCCCAAAGAGGGTATAGCATCTGCATAGGGACATGACTTTGCTCCCTCCTAACACTTCTCTTCTCTTTCATTATTCTACTCCCTCCACTTGTCTCTGTTCTCATTTTTAGATATCCTCTGCCCAGTCCTCACCCTTGTAAGTATACCTGAGAGAAATTAAAACTCCCAGTACTTGTTTATCATTGGCAATAATGAACAGGGATGGGAAATCTGACACACCTCTGGAAGATGCGAGTGACAGAGAAGTAACCCTACGTAAAACCTTAGGAAGCTGCTAAAAATTTGCTTTGATGATTTTTGCTACGTGATTAGAGCAAAGCCTTTCTATCTTTTTCATGGTCTAGATCTAAATTACTTGACCTCTCTGGGTTTTTGTTACCTCTTTCATGTAAGGAAAGTAGGTCTATCACTAAACTTTGTGTTACTGAATATTCTGCTGATCCAAGTACTGTTAATCTACTTCAAACAAAGAAACCAAAGATCTACATATTTGGGTCCCCTGAGAACCACAGTAATAACCTGTGAGTGAAAATATCTTTCAAAAATATCCCATTAGAGGCTGGGGAATGTGGTTCAGTGGTAGAACACGTGCCTACTACATGGGAGGCTCCACGTTCAATCCCCAGCACTGCAAAACAATCCAATTGATAAAGCTCTACAAATAACAAGCTTGTATTATTCTTCTGTCTACAAGTTTCTATTGTTTAACCTTTCACAAACATCACCTATTTTTTTCCTCCTTAAGATCTTTACTTGGTTGCCTATAGAACAAAAGGGTTCATAGTGTTGCTGGGAAGAATGACCTATAAAAAGTCGTTACAGAAGCCAAGTGAGAGTAACAATGTTTTTTTGTGCAGGCTTATGTTCCTAAGTCATTTTATTTCATACTTGTATAAATCCTCTGAGTTGGTGTCATCTCCCCAACTTTACAACTAAGAAAACTCCGTGTTCTCTTACAGAAACTTCCTGCTCTCAGTGAGAAGTCGTATCTCATAATACATGTCTCAATTGTGCTGGTGGGATGAGGGATTACGTTATAATTGAATTGAATGTGAAAATATTATTCCTTTCTTTTTAAGATTTTCTGTATGCCTATCTTTGCAAAGCATACACTATGGAAGGAACTAGTGTTGACAATGAGCACTAAGAACTGATGAGACAAGCATTAGGAGAAGATTAGTTCTTTATATACAGTATATTGGCTTAAACTTTTAATTTTAAATCTCAATTAAAATGGCTGATTAAAATAGGAGTTAATTAACTTTCAGCTCCTACAGTTTTCACCTAGCTCTTATAGGTTCGATAATGAACATGGTTAGTAGAACACCGTTTCTGTCTCTCCCCTAACAGGCTGCTGGGTCCAAAAATGCTGTAGCCACCATCTTCTTTGTGTGTGCACATCTACTGCATGTAGGTTACTCTAAGACTGTTTGAATTAGGGCAGTTCTCTTGGAGGGCAAAATTAACTCAGGAGACGATTTTAAATAGATAAGTTCTAGGACAGTTGGGTGGTATAATTAGAAACATCAGGGTTTATGATTAATCAGCAGAGTCAAAAACTAAGAAGATTTATAATAATGCTTTGCTGTCACATACTTCTTACAAATTTGTGAAAACAGTAAAGTCTCTCATTATAATATTTTTAACCTTTTTGACTAATTTTCCATTTGATGCCTATTCACATACTAGGCAGTATATAAAAGTACCTTAGAAAACAGTACTAAAAGGACAAGTCATTAAAAATTAAATTGGTTGCTTATTTTTTCAAGGACTTTATTCATTACTGGCTAGGAAATAAAGCTTATCATTCACTACCCTACACAAATAAAAACACCAATTAAAGGCAGAGATGGAACAGAGAGAACAGGTCATTTATTTCAGTAACTGCACCTTCTGTCACCAATCACAGGACCAAATGACCCAAGGGTGGGTGAGTCTAAGCAGTAATACAGTCTCCAAAGATAATCACATTCATATGCTCAATTAACAGCACAGACTGTTCTTAACACAAGGTAATCATTTGCACAGAATCATAATAAATAAATATCTGTACTAAGACATTATGAGAGAGGCAGTTCTGAAAACAGTGTCTGTGGCTTCCAAACATTAATCAGCTGAGAAATATTTTCCTAACTGAGGTATTCTTTCTAGGAAAAAAATTCACTGAAATTTCATTTCAAAGGTTTGGGTATTTAAAAATTAGAGAGAAAGTACAGAGAATAATTTTACTTTCTAATTTTATTCTGAAATACAAATAAGACTCCTTAGGATGTCAACATTAACTCCTTGATGTATTTTTTTTCTCTAAATTCCTAATATGAAAGTCATACATATTAGGCTTAAACCTGCTGATGTTTGATCAAGACTAACAGCACACAAAGAAAACTTTTAAAAAATTATCAGTAACATGAAACAAGCAATTATGAAGTACAAGGGCTCAAAAGTTTATAAAACAGCTCTAAAATTACCAAAATCTCAAAGTCCAAAAAAGACACCAGGAATGAAAAAGAGAGAGAGAGAGAGAGATGCTTGAAGCAGAACAACACCAGCTTAAATCATATGAAACAACTTGGACAAGATTCTGATACAAAAATTGAAACTGAGATGCAGTTGAAAGAATATTTCAGTTCAGTCCAGTTAAGACATAGTGCCACTTCTGTTTCCCTTTCTAAATAAAACAAAACTTATCTCAAAACTTTGAGGCATTTAAACTATCTGAATTTCCTTTATTTGTCCATGAAATATCAAAGTAACATTCTGATACACCACACAACTGGACAGAAAAGAAAACCAAACGTGTGCTGGATGGACAGACACCGTTAATGCCTCCTTTGTCACATGACATACATCAAGGCTCTCTCCAGAATTCCAGAACTTAGGGAGAATTGCTTTACCCAAACGGAGACATGCTGCAAAGGGGAGGGGGCAAAACCAGAATTTCCATCAAAGATGGAAATTTCCATTAATTTCTGAGAAAGTAGACAAAATATACAGCAGGGATTTGATCATTTAGTACCTTAACTCTTGTAAGAAACTTAAGCTAAGGCTTCATTATTCCAGTTATAAGGTTCTGTGTCATCCTTTAAAAACAATTTCTCTTTTCCTTGAGAACATTCATGATGGACTTAAGGTAGTCTGTTGGTAAAGAATGAGAGATGCTACAATCTGTCCAAGTATAACAAACATTAGCATAATGAGAGGTGTACGGGTTACAGCTGGGTACAGGAAAATAATTTTTAGATCCCAAATTCACTACCACAACCTTAATTAACCTTAAACAAATTCAAAAAGCCATGATTAATAAAACCTGTTCACTTTGCATAAGGAATTATTCTAAGACAAGCGAGAAGGGTTAACTGTTGGGCACACTCCCTACCTAGTAACACGGCCAGGGCTCCTCGCCACAAGGCTCCTGTGCAACATCTACTTCAGCAGGCTCTGCAGCATGGCTGTGGCATACGTGGGCCGAGCCTGTCTGCTCTCAATAGCATTCTGCAAGTACTGGATGCCTCCACAGCGCTCCCAGATCTCTTCAAACTGCCTGGGCAGAATCTCCGCACCCCGCTTTCGAGTCAGGCCAGTCTCTTCAAGATTCAGCTCACACATCTCCATGTCATCCTTACCTACACAGAAGAGACATCAGAAAATTGCCATGTCACTTTTCACATTTATATGTATGAGCTTCACTCCTGGAAAACCTACCCATTTTCATAGATGTGAGGGCTTTTTAAAACTTGTATCTTCTCTATGATAGAAATTTGCTTAATAAATTTGCAGAAACAAATCTGTCCCCCACTAAGAACCCTTTTGAAATTTATAACCCCCCCACCCCAGTTCAAACAAGTCATCAAGTTTAATAAAAATGCTACATGTCCTCAAGCTATTACTAGACAATGGATATAATCAAACATGAACAAAGTTTCTTTGGACAAATTTCAATGTGATCTACAAGGACATAACACAAGCATTTGTACTTTATTAATCAGTTAATCTTCAATTAATGAGAAGTGTGATTTACTCCATCATTCAACTCTGAAATCAGTGGCTTATTTCATTATATATTAGAATGTTATATAGAAGGGTTTATACTCCTTTATTCTGTAATTTTTTCATGTGAATCATACACACCAGCCACAAGAAGGATGGGTGGCTTGTCGGGATGCAGCTCCATTTGCCGGGCAATCCAGGGTCCATCAAAGTGGGCATACCACCAGCCTTTTTTCTTGTTCTGGGGGTCTTTGTACTGGTCAGCAGGGCGGATGAATGGGATGCGGAAGAAGCGCTGCTGCCGGTTCATCTCAATCTCCTGCTGCCTGGCAGGAAGCTGAGCTGCAGGGTTCTGCTGAGCTATGTGTAACACAGAACAAGGAAAGTTACACCAGCAGCCTGAGGGAAAACAACAGACTTTGCTCCTAAAATGTACCTGAAAAGGTAAGAAGAGAGGCTCCTAATAGTGAGCTTAAAGTACAGACATTAATTGTCTCTAAATGAATGCAATTCAGAGGTGATTTCTTAGAACTGTCTTTCCCTGAATATGTTCTTTGACAATGTGCGCAAACACACACACACCACCCCCCCCCACCAACAACCACAGTAAAACCCTAGTAGATTCCCACAAATGACCATTATTAGTAATCTGCAATAAACTCACATGTCAGGGAGAGCAAACTAGTATTATTTACTAGATTTATATTTTCCTCAAAATATTTTAAATGTAAGTTGCAGGATAACTTTTATTGGACTATTTAAAATAAAACAAAATAAACAGTAATTTTTTAAAATCTGGAAGCTAGACATTTGTTAATTTAAAAGTAGAAGCCATATAAAAATATTCTCTTCGGCCAACTGATTCGGAAATTTTAAAAGGCCAGGATAATAGATATAAATAATATTTAGACAGGTTTTGACAAAAAAATTCAAACCAAAAACACCTGTATCTGTAAGTATAAACTTTCTCTGAAATATTTACTTCAAAATCAGATTTCTCTTGGAATAAAATCCACTGAAATAAGTAAAAAGGGTATAATATTTGATTCTCCTAGCCAAGAGGAAAGAAAAAGGCTTGCTTTTCTGCTGATACTAAGCACTGCACTCATATCAATCTTTCCTTCCTTGTTCAGTTTTCATTACTAAAGAATTAGGCCTTTTATTTTATCTGCAAATTTAACACTCTCCTGGAGCAATAACTTTATACCTTTAGCAGCACAATTTTGATAAGCTTGTTTAATATGCTTTATATTTACAACTTTAAAAGTAGACCAACCATTTACTGTACTTCTGAGAATCTCAGTATGAAAATCAAAGTACATCAGGGGAAAAAATATGTATCTATACAATATGCATAATATAAAAATCAAGAACAGCCACATGGCTTTTGTAAGAACTTACAAATACTGAAAGGATGAAAATACTCTTCACTCTACTTTTTATACGAAAAAACAGCAAAAGGTTTATAGCAGCTGAATTTACTGTTTTGCAAACCAGAGAAAGCAAAAAAGCAGTTAGCAAAGCTTCATATGCCTCTGAATAAAAGAAAAGCCAGCAGTTTTGTTAGTGACTAAACACCGCTTCACCTCAGCATATGAACAGAGATGTGCTTATTTATTCTTTTGCTCCTATTTCCCCAATAGTACTTCAGGCCGTGATTATACTTTAAGTTTTAAACATTACTCACTCTGCAGAAAATACACTAACACCTGTGAAAGGGTCAAAAACAAACAAAAAATTCCTTTCCTATATCTTTACAAGTAAATTACAATTTAATGTTTAATCGGAAATTTACTACTCTACTGCTATCAGCCATTAATTAACCTACTTTTTCCCTTCTAAAATAAGTCTCCTGTAACTTTATACATTGAGTAAACTTAGGAAACCAAACAAAAGTATTTGGTAGTCTTTTCTATGACTAGAAGAACTGAATTGTTGAAGAAGGCTGAAAACTAATATCTACCTGGAGAAGTTAAAAAATACAGACATTAAAAGCTTGAAACTAATTTTCTAAGCAACTTTCCTTCACATTCAATTGCATTATCTTCAAAGTGTGAAATAAGTTTCAAACACAGCTCTATAAATTATTCAAAGCACTTTAAAAAATCATACCCAACTAGATAGTAAATGAGGATGACATTGTATCTGAATCATTACTGCTCAATTAGTTCTAGAAAATTTTACTATATACTAAATTAACTCAAAGCATCTAAATGTACAGAACAACAGACATCATAGGAAGATATAAAGGTAACAAAATCATCTCTTCGCATTAGGAGATATCATTATTAAACTTGTACACATACCATACAAAAATAAAATTTCACCAAAAATGAAACTGCAAAATGCTCTACCCTTTATCTCCATATTTGGGGTAGTAACAGACCTACCCTAAACCCAATTGTCTCCATGCTTAGGAACTTAGCAAAATGATCAAGGGTTGCTGGGTAATGAAAACATGTGTCTAGGCAAGGGTTTGGGCTGGAATTGCCCGGCTCAGAAAATATAAATATATGCAGGACATAGACTGCCATTTGGGGGCCTCTTGCTCCTATCTCCTGCAAATTGGGGTGTGCTTCTTTCTCCCTTTCCATTTCTCACTGTTTTGCTTTGCTAAATAAATCTTTGCTAACCTTCAAGAAAAACCAACACCAAGAAGAATCCCCACTCCAACAAAAACCCTCAAATCTCTTTGGATAGAAATGCAGCTACCAGCATGATGCTTGAAAACACAGCATTTGGAACCAGCGCCTAGAAGTTAGTCTTTCTTCTAAAAGATTAGCTGCTATATTAAGATAGAGTTTTGCTACAATGAGAATTGTATATGTTCGTAGTGTAATATAATTTTTTAAATGGAAGCAATTTGATAAAAGAACAGAAAAATCTGGTTAATTTTTGTTCTGTATATATATTTTGGAATGATCCAAATAAATGCATCATCTCAAGTTGAAACACACATCTTAACATAGATAAACCAACTTTAATGTACTACAATTCCATTTAAAATTGTAGCAAAACAGTGTTTAACAGAAGTTAGTACTTTATAAAGTATTTTAACCCATCCTCCAGTTAGCTCATGAGTTACCAACCATTGACTTACGTGAATTGTTCAAAAATGGTGCAAAATCTGTGAATAAATATTTTATGTTGAAGAAAAGATAAAAATGCCAAAACTGTTAAATGAGCATTTTTCTAATTTACAAATCCATCCCATCAATTGAGGTCGTAAATAACAAGTAAAAGTCCTAACCCTAAGCCAAATTCTTCTTGGAATTACCTACAAGAAGGTACTGCATTATGATTTGGGGAAGAAAAAAGCTACTTTGATTCATGATGTTTTAGGATACTCTGTTTGAGACACAGGTGAAAAGGACCAAAGTTTAAAAATTATATTTCACTTATAATTTTGGGACTCAGTGATATTCAAACAAAAACCTAACACGATGACAACAGACACAGTGCATTGTTTATACACTAGTATATCTTAATTTCCTCAAATTTTTGTAAATCATAAATTCATGCCACTTTTATTTTAGGAACAATGAAACTATTTTCAAAATCACTGTTTTAAGCAACTAAGTATCATACATATTTACTGGGTTATTTGCCACTGCCCCCAAATCATTTCTGGAAAATCTGTCTGCAATGAATGAGATGACAGCATGCTTGTGCACACAGTGTTAGGTAAAGGGTCTGAGGCTTCTTGCTCACTCTTACGGAAAATTACCATGAGTTGTCAATGCATTAGTCTTACAGTCAATAATATCAAGTTACATTTCTGTTAATCATAAATTTTTAACACTTTATGTTCTCAAATTCCTAATTTCTAATCCTTTTAAATTTTACACCATGTAGCAACTCCTTTTACAGGGTTGTTTAGTTGCCCCATTTGGAAACCACCTAAGTACAGAATTTTCTTCACTGAACTTTTACATTAAACATCTCAATGTCCTCTGTGTTTCTATCAGCTATGCTCTTGTGTCAAGGTTGAATTTTATATGAGGAAAAAAATTACAGACAAAAGCAATATAAGTACTTCTCAGAGAAGTTAAATTTTATCCTGAAAATAGCTCATGACCAAATTATCTGAAAGCTAAATATATATGGACTGTGTTCACATAAAATTCCTGAATTTACTCATATACCTGGATGGGACTCAGAAATTTTTCTTTTTTGGGGGGTGGTATTAGGGTTTGAAGTCAGGGCTTCAAACTTGCTGCATAGGCACTCTACCATTTGAGCCACAGCTCCAGCCCTTTTTGCCCTGGTTATTTTGGAAGTAAGGTTTCACTTTTTGCCTAGGCCACTCTCAACCTGATCCTTCTGCTTATGCTTCCCACCATAGCTGTGTCCCACCACACAGTTTTCCATTAAGATGGAGTTTCACAAACATTTTTTTTTTTTGGCTCAGGCTGGCCTGGAATCTTGATCCAATCTCAGGCTCCCACATAACCTGAGATGACAGGTGTGCTCCATCGCATCTAGGTATTGGTTGAGAAAGGCTCTTGCTTAACCTTTTGCCTATGCTGACCTCAAATTGTGATCCTCCCAATCTCAGTCTCCTAATCTAGTTTTTTGCTCTCACAAATAAATCAGGAACAGAAATAGCACTTGAATTAACAAGGTGAGCCACTATTATTTGCACCTTTGGAGGCAAAGCTAGATAAACCATGGCATCAAAGTTTTGTTTAAAAATACATGAAATATTTATATATTCATTTAAAACCTATGTGCCAAATAATATATTAATTTCTTTTTGTTTTAAGAAGTGCACTCACTCAGACATATAAATTTTGAAGTAGAACAGAATGAAAGCCTGTCAGACTAAAGGTAATCATTTAAACATTTACAGCTAAAAAGATGACAGCTAAAAAGAATAACTCGTTCCTATTTTTTTTATAAAAATAGATAACTTGTGGCAGAAACTTAATATACAGATAATGAACAGGTAATGGAATCATTCTATCATCTTCATAACACTGAGAAAGGGTTTAAGCACAAAGAGAATGTGATGGTTACCATGTTCAGTGTGTCTGACACCTGCCATTTCTGAGCTGCAGCCCTCTCCCAATGTCCCTGGAGTGGGATATTCTGCCTGATTAACAATCCATGAGCAATCACTGGCACTAACATACTCCTTATTAAAACGATATTGCCCTCAATATATTCTTTGCAACAACTTAGCAATATTAAAATTCCACCATTTAACTGACTTTATTCCAATATTGCTTTTATTTACTTGGAACATGATGAGAAAAACAAAACCTCCAAGAGCTCATGTCTAAGTAAACTTGATCATGCATTAAGAATACATCCCTTAAAAACAAATAAATAAACCCTCTGTCAACTTGACATGAACAGGAATTCAGCTAATAATTTACGCCAGTATAAAAGCAATAAGTTGACAAATGAAATTCCAATTATTGTTTTGGAGATTGAAGTTACAGCTCATACATCACAAGTGTTCTCAGTTAATGTTAAAGCTTATGCTGCTTTTACTAGTTTCGATCTATCCTGCTTTATTTTCCAATTTCAAGTATACACTTAGCCTTTTGCATAACAAGATCCCAGTAAAAAATCAAATCCTGGTCTAGGCAAAACTCTAGTCTGAACAAAGGTAACGTTTCTCACTCTCAAATTTTGACAGTATTATAAAAGAATGTTTTCAGTAAACCTTTTTTTAAAGAAAAGAGAATGTTAATGAAACACACAAACCAATTCCTTGCTTGCTAGGCTATAATCCTACTCTGAGAGAAACTAGAAGGTATGTATGCCTATATACTAAAAAAAAAAAAAAAAAAAAAAAAAGTAGTATTTGAATATTTTAGGGAAATAGTCTAAAACAGAGAACTACATTAAACTTTAAAATAAGGAAAAATTTAGAAAATAAGGATTAAACAAGCTTCTGTTTAGGAAGTATAAAATGACTATTTTATATGTAATCTTTACATTTCACATGTAATCTTGATGTATGTGTGTGTATTTGTCTGGAAACAATATATTTACATGAGTATTATACAACTTCTTCAGTACAGACAAGAAAATTCTTACCTGTAGAGTTTAACAATTGTATTCAATATATCATAATGAATACAAATTTAAAGATATAGTTAGCAGAAATAATGTTATAAAAGATAGACCATCAAAGTTGTATCAGGTTCAATGGATCACGGTGTACAATAAGAGAAAAATTATATTGGATATTTTACCCAATGTCTTATGTATAGTTATATACATTTATATAAATATACTTTGGAACATTCAAAAGTACAGATTTGTTTTTACCATAGTCAGTAACAGACTTTGGAGCACGTTGCTCTGTTTCAGTATTTCTCTTCTTGTTCTTAGATTTCCAAGCATGATACACTTTTAGTCTCCTATGAAATTCTTCTCTGCAAGCTGCCAAGAGCTCAATATCTATTGATTATACAGAAAGAGCCACAAAAAAAAAATTAACATCCTTTTATTTATTCATCTAACATAATTATTCTGTGGCATAAACAGATACATATTAAATGAGGTTTTTGTTTTTAACTTAATAGTACTAAACAAAAATTTAATTACTCATAATGATGAGCATTGTGTAATATTTTCTTTCATATTTACAGAGCATTTTTTCAAACATTATTACTATCTTATGTCATTTGTTTCATACAGGACCCTGAACTAATTACACCTTCTGCATATAAAGAAACTGAATCAGAAAAGTTGAAAATAGAATAAAGTCAGTGCCCTCACATATAAGCCCGATTTAACTGCAGCACATTTTTTGTTTATAATTATACATTGTGAGAAATTCTGCCAGATGATGATGCTTTCATTCCTAGTCAGAGTATCCTGAATGCTGTGAGAGTAACAAAGAGACTGGCTTAAGCTAACTTAATATTTATATTAAATTCTTGTTTATTTATACCTGCATACCACCCCGCCTAGGTATTTACTGTTTTATCTGTCAGAATGGACCATTCCTATTTTTCATCCTCTCCATACACTTACCGCAAGAAGTGTTGATGGTGTCACGAAGTTCTGCGTATTTCCACTTACTAAGATCGTGTTTCTTGGTACCAGCAGCTGCCTTGGTGGCTTGTACAGCAGGACCTCTGTAATTAGTATAAATTTTTACATATTTAAACTAGAAACATGAGTGAAACATTGACTAAAGAGGCGAGAAAGTATACGTAAGTTTGAAAACTGGTACCTACTAGAAAAACATATAATTGTTTTTTTATCTTTGGCAGGTGAGATTTAAGACTATGTACTAGGGATAGGGCTGTAGGTCAGTGATAGAACACCTGCCAGACATGCACAAGGCCCTAGGTTCAAGCTACACCACCGTTTTTTAAAAAAGTACATCAAAAGATGACCAAGTCAATTAATTTTCAATGTTCTTACTGATGGCTATATGAATAAGGTTTAAAATATATATGTATATATATTTTATATAAGTATAAAATATGTGTTTTTCAAAATCAAGAAAGAAATCCTCAACAGACTTGAAAGATGATTAGCAGGACACAAATGGTTTGTTTATGAGCCAGGAGGCAGCCCAGTACATGCTGCAGACTACTGAAAGCCACAGATGGCCTGGAACATCCCTGAGCATCTGGATGTTTACATGATCCACAGGTGAGTGACCAAACTGCAACCAGTACTCCAAAGAATTAAAGATGGCTGAAAGGATTGCTGGAGCCTGGGAATACTAAGAAAACTTCCACAAGCAGACATTCTAGGCTTGGTGAGTCACAATACAATGACCAGAATATTGCAGGAAGAGATTTTAGATGATGGGGCAGATAACATGAGATTTCAAAGGGCACAAGAGTTTGTCTTGACCCATTTAGGAGAACATTTGCATGAGGAAAAGGAAACTGAAAAATCTAAAGTGCTCAATAAAATGGATAAACACAACTTTTGCATAGCAGTGCTACTGAGGGCTTAAGACTTGGGAATCTTATTTATTTTGCTGTTTTGTTTTTGGACACAGTCTTGCTATGTAGTCCAGGCTGTCCTTGAACTCACAATCCTGCCTCAGCCTCTGGAGTTCTGGGATTATAGGGTAGGCCACCGTGCTGGCTAAGAGTTGATATTTATATAAATTAATAAGTTTAAGATCATTAATCAGAAGTATCTGAACAATTTTTATGTAATAATGAGCATTATTTTTCAGAAAAGATTATACTTTGCACATGGCAGACACTCAGAATCAAGCTGGAAGCCTTTTAAACTCAATGTAGCAAAGCAAGAGTTGAAACATAAGATGCAAGACATGAAAAGAAGGAGGCACAGATACTAAAGTAACTCAATATCGAAGAGCTAAAATACTGCTTCTTGGGTATCAAACAAGTAAATTCTCCCTTATCACTTTTCACCTGGAAAATATTTACTTAGACATGATAAACATGCACTACACAAAAATAAGCACATGTTTTCTTGCCATTTTATGTTTTGAAAGATAACAGCAATCCTGCCAAATGGTCAAGATATAGACACTGAACATGAATGGACTAATGTTAATGGGAAATGGTATTTAAAAATATGTGACTTTCTTCCTGAGGTAAAGAAAAGTACTCTGTCAACAGTCAGCTGATAATGAAGCAAATAAGGTATCTTTGCCTCTTTAAAAGGCCTATGTTATGTTTTCATTTTAGAGAATAAAAATCAGCATATTTCACACTAAAATTGTTCAACATAGTTACTGTCTTACATAGATGGCTAGCCAAAGAATAAATGTGACCATTCAGTCTTCTGGTTAAGACCTGTTCTAGGTTCCCTAAAGAATCTTTATTTTTCAGAAGCTGTATGACCAGCAATCTTCCATAAAGCTTTTTTATTCTGCAACCAACTACATCTGCATGAAAGACTGGCTGCTCCATGTAGCTGGGCATCACAAGGATCCTCTGTTTCCCTTAACAATAAATTACACTTTAATATTTATTCAAACATTCTTTTCTATGTCACTAAATTAATCAACTAACCAAAAAATATACTCATTTTTCCCTTTATCTTCCAGGAATCTTTCTAAAAGAGCTACTGAAAATTCCTATGGATTTTGTTATTTTCTTTTCTTTTGAAAGAGAAAGTTTATTTATATAATATAGTTTCATAAAATATATATAATATATAATGTATTTCATAATATAGTTTCAGAATATAAGACATTAGAACATATATAGGTGTGTTTTGATACTTCTACGACATAAATTGAGTTCAAATCATCATTAACTCTTAAAACATAATCTTAACACTGGTTTTTTCATTCATATTACTTCAAGTTAAATGTGCCTACTTGAAAATACATCTGGTGTTAGAAGAATTACATGAACACAATGCATTCAACGTGCCCCTCCCCTCATCTCTGGACAGTGAAATAAAGGCGTGATTTATTGATTATTAGACTTATTATAAAGACAATCAGGTAAACAATACATAAAGTAGTAGCAAAACTGTGATATTTTAAAAATATATATATATTAATTTAACACTTCTGATTAACTTTGTAACTTGGAAGTTGATTAAAATGTTATTGATTCACATCTGTTCATGAAAGTAATGGACCAGATCCTGCTGGGAAGTTAAGATTCTTTGGGGGCTCAATTTGTGCCAATGGTTTTTAAATGAGACAAAGCCCCAAAGAAGCCACACTCTTCCTTCAGCTGGGCACAGCGGTCCCCACACTAGGGGCAGCACCTCACAAGGAAAGTGACAAAATGGTTGTTTTGTCGGATGGGGGGGGGGATTCCCCCACCAAGAATGAGTGGCCAGTAACCAAAAGGACAAGGAACTGCCTCATTCAAATTGCAATTGCATTCTCATTGAGAAACATCAATTGAGAGGAATGTTGCTCTTCATCTTTTCCGTGTTCAGATGAGGTGAAGGGGAGACAACATTTTTTTTCCTCAGAAAGTTTACATGGAAAGAGTGGGCTATTCATAGAACAGGTTCTAGTCCAAACAATCATGAGTAATTTTAAAATGTGATCTGTGTGGTGAACACTTATTTCCCCAAACACACTGCACTAACCTACTCAAAAATTCTGACATTTCATTGGCCATTTGTTCCCTATAAGAAAAATGATAATACAACATAATTATATACAAGGCACACTACATAAATTGCCTAGAACATCCAAAATTACAATTAAAATTTATATTTTCAATATGATTACTAATTCATTCACTATTCACAATTATTTTACTTTGTAAGTCTGTGATCTACTTTTCAACAAATCTTGTCATAAAACATGGTAAAAATTTTGTTTAAATCCAGTTAAAGTTATTTGAACACATTTTTGCATAGAAACTTCAAGATAAAAATCTCATCAAAGACACGCTTCCTTGGTATTTTTTATATAAAGAATATAAGTAGCATGTTCTAAATACATGCAGGAAAGTTAGCAGGGCATGGATTCTATACAAGGACTATTGCACTAGACATGCTGAGTAAATACTAATTAGACAAGGTGGTGGTAAACCATGTGGATATATTTTAGTGCCAGAGTTTAAGAACCTAATGTATTCAAAGCAAGCTCTACAATACTAAATCAAAGTATGTTTAAGAAAAAAGGAACAGGAAAGCAATACAAGCACTTGTTGAATGAAAGACCTGAATCATTCTGACATTCCAAAGATAAATACTGCCCAAAGCAAAAACCTGTTTTTGTTTTATTACCCAGGGGAGTTTAACTTTTCTCAGGATTTAATTCTGTGAAATAGAATGGAAATTTCATTGTGTATTCATCAACACCTTATTAATTTCATTAATTCATTTTCCTGCCCTTCGCTCTTTTCCTTCATAATCATTTTCTCATTTGTTCTGTTCATCCAGTTCTGGTAACCTCAAAACCTTACAAATCAGCAAACATCATGAGAAAAGAAGGTGGGTATGTTTGCTGCAGAGCAGGTTCCTGGACACTGCTAAGCCCTGAGACCCTGTTCTTGGAATGAATACTGGCTACCACTAGATACTGACGGAGGTCTATCCAAGTAAGCATGGCCAGAGGAAAGTTAACCTTTTGAAACTGATTAGGAAGAGCAAAAAATACAAAATAAAGGACACAAATACCATCTAATAAAAATTATCTTTTGAGGAATCTCTCTAAGTTAGTGGTTTCTCAGAATTTTCTATCTTTCAAACTCAGTATGATTTTGGTCAGTATTTTTATTTCTATTATCACCCCATTTCAAGGTTCCTGTCTATTATTACCATCTCTTTACTCCTAAAGCTTCCTCCATTTGTTCTCACAGAGCATGTTTCATAGGAATCAAGTGCCTTTTCAAATCTCTTTACCATGTGGCCTGATGATTATACAAAGACTTTCTGTAGGTTCCATCACTACAATGGATGGCAATCTCTACAGATTGATATTTACCTCACCCCCTCTCATCGGGATACACCTGACCTTCACCAAACACATTACACCAAATTCATTAGGCAGAAATGGTCCCAGCATCTAGGTGCTTTTTTCTTTCTGATTTTACTAAACTATATTGCAAATACAACAAAGTAATTGTTCTAATTACTTTGGGAGGCAAACAGTACCCATTCAGAGACACTTTGTAAGTTTTTGGTGGCACTGAGGTAAAAATATATTGTAGGTGTGCTCTCCTAGCATGTGTTGAGGTGTGAAATCAGGAATTCCAAATGCCCTTCACAAGAAGAATTGTCTGCCAGATATATAATAGTGAAAAACACATATGCAAATACAAAGTTTTACATGTAAACAACATATTTCGCAGAGTTTTAATTAAGAATTTTTCTAGGGATGTAAATATTGTATAATTAAGAGGAGACTGTACTGAACTCTCTAAATTTAAAAAGAATTGTTCACAATTTCATGGCGTTTGAGTTTCTCAGACAACATTCCTATATCAATTTAAATTTCTCCTATGCATTCATGCTGATTGCATAGAAAATCATCTGATCACTTGATTTTCTCTCTGCTGCAACTATGCATTCTCATCTAAAATAAATGTTTTATTACAAGTGACTGTCATTTTATTTCTCCTTTACAGATATTTTTGGAAAGAATTACTTACATAGGTTACATCATTTGTACAGTATTATTGGTACTAAAGTCTGATAGAGAAGAGCACTATCACTATAAAGGTTATAGCTGGAGTCCTTAAAGCTGTTAGAATTTGGCTTTTATACATATCTTCCAAAATATCTTACATATATATACTAAACATATTCATTTTCCAAGTGTTACTAGGAATCTCTCTCTCTGTGGAGACACTGACATTATACACATAACTTCAGATCATGATCTACTTAAAATATTAGTAGAATTAACCATATATTGATAGCCAAATATTTCATTTATTCTTATTTATTCATGTACACTCGCTCCTATAAATACGTAAAGTAACGGGGAGTTAAAAACACATAAAACAAACTGGCACTAGAGTTTAGACAAAGACAACAGAAAAAAGGAAACCAAATCATAAACTCTATGATTGAGCATCAAAAGGGAGCATTAAACATTTTCCCCAGGCATGAAAAATAATGAGTTATCTCATCCTCTTTTAATAAAAGGAAACAATTTAAAATTTACTGTAAGTAAGAAACTACTTCTCTCCAAATAGTATACACCACCTATTTTTTTAAAAAGACAAAAGGAAATGACATACGGTGTCATTTTGGGTCTTGTTCCATCATTTCTGTGAAAAGAATGGATTTTCGTTAATAGCATCACCAACTCTGAATTATAAAAATCTGAACTGTAAATTTGGTTCCAATTATTTACGCATTGATTTTAAGACTTTGATTATCTTTAATCTACACGAGATCACTTGGAATTTTCATTAAGAGAAATGCAAAAGAACAAATTAAAGGATCCCAATAAAGGTAAAGAGCAAATACATCTAGATTGGAAAATTTATAATTTGTAAGATTTATTGTTAGTGGAAATGTGGATATTACAATTTCAGGCAATTAAAATCATCACTTTGCATCAAAAATCATGTGCAATTTATTGAGATTACATTTTAAAACATATGTAAAAACATCTCTACTTAGAAGTTACTTGGCAGGAATTCAAGCTGGAAAAAATAACTTCAAATTGTTTATTGTGGCAGAATCCATTTCTATATATTGTCAACACATCACAGAACCCAAGAACAACATTTCTGTACTATATCTTAAGATCAGGCTTACCTAGAGACTCTCACTCACAAATGAGTTATAGAAAAAAAAAATTCAGTGCTGACAAAGGCAAAATAAATACCCAAAAACACTGAGTTGCAGTCTACCAAATAGGATGAGACTGTCAAGACATGGATGGTCTATACAGATCATCATCCACAATGAAGTCGTAATGTCTGTAGTACGGAGTATGCAATAACCATGAAAATGGAAGGGTCTCAGAGGACCTGGGGGGTCAAGGAAGCGGGCTGGCAGAAGGATCTGAAAGGGCATCCAAAGGAGGGCACCCATTCCCAGGGCTCGCCCACGGCAGAGTAAAGCTAACAATTCTGCCTTTCAAGTCACGCTGGCTTGGATACCTCACTACTTAATAGTGGTTCCCATTGTGTAGCTAATTCTACTTAACTTAAATCACAGGTAACCTGCCACCTACACGAAAGGTCCTAAATATCCACCCTTTCTCAGCGAACATTAATGCTATATGATGTGTACCTTCCTGAAGACAGGAAAAAGTCTGCATACAGCCAGTGGCATGTCCACAGCAAGAGGAATGGCGCTGAATACAAGTTAATATTTTAAATGCTTAAATGTAAAGCTTCGCAATGAGTGCCAATAATGACTCCATTAACAAGTACCTAAGAAATGGACTTCAGCCACAATGCATCCTACTTTTCAAACTGTAATACTTCTGCTAAGACATCAGGAATAGCAGCTGTAAGAGCCCAATTCACTAAAAGCTTGACCTAGCTGCTACCCAGTTATACACAAAGGCTCCCAGCCACTCCAAAAAACACAGGTGGAAGAACAGACTGAGGCCAGTCTGCATTTATAAAAGCCATAGTGAGGCCAAAATATTTTTATTGAAGTGAGATGTTAATAAACAGCCCAAATACTGGGCACAGACCCAAGAGCTTAATAATTACACCTTTGGTTTGCCCAGCCCTATTCATTTCATTAACAACATAATATACTTTCATATGTAATTCAGACTTCAGAACATCTTTAAAAAACACTTGGTAGAAAAGTGTGTGCAGGCCAACTTAATCCCTTCTCTCTCCTACCTTTTGTTTTCAGCTAAATGAAATCTTAACAATCTGCATTGCAATTTGAACCCAGGTTTTTTTCACTTTCATAAGGAAATAGCTCCATCTAGTGGTCACTATTTATTTTTGTCATAAACTGTTTCGATGTTCTGAAAAGCAAGGTATCATGGATCTGTGTGCCTTTCAGTATACAGACAGCATAGGTACCAACATGGAAAGGAACTTTATAAAAAAGTTTTGCTTTGTTTTTACAAATAAATAATCAAAATAACTAATGTTTCTATAGTCTAAAATATTAAATGAAAAATACTAAAACCTTTCTATAACTTCTTGCAAAATACTAAGATCTTCCAAATTCCTCCACACTGCATTACAGTATTAGAAATATTCAGAAATATGGGGAGTCAAAATATTTCAAGATGATTAACCTTCCTTCTTGGAAAGAAAACCCATTTATTCTGAGACTTTGGAGGATAAATTTTAAGATATAAGATATACTAAAAAAAAAAAAAAAGACTGCATTAGGAAAGTAAAAATATCTTAAAATCAAGTATATAAAACTGCATTATAACAGTCACTACTTTGTGTTTAATGACAAGCATTTAGAAACTAGATGTCTACCCGATATATCTTAGAAAATTTTAGAGGAAAAGTTGATCTGTTTTCTTAACACAGTATTCATTAACTGAAGTTTTGTTTTAATTTTCCAACAGTTTAACGATTTGATGGAAAATCATTTCAGTCATTTGGTTAAAAGTGGATCCAGATAGTTTAAAAATAATTTTCCTTCAAACATCCTAGAACCTAAGTAATACGACTTTCCCTGTCCCCTTTCATATGAAAATGAGAAGCAGAGAGAAGAAAGCAAACGAGAGGGTGCCACCGCCCACGCAGGGGCTCCGTACCTCCGGAGCGCCGGGTCACCCTGGCCCTCATCGCTGATGAGCTCAGATTCACTCTGGACGATGCGCAGTGCCAGCTCCCGGTCCCTGCGCTCCTGCTCCAGAACTGCCTGCTGCTGGGACTCCTCCTCCCGCTGCCGGGCCAGCTGCGCCTCCACTTCAGCCTGCCGAGCACAGAGACATTTAGCTCTTCGCTTCTTAAGTGATCATTCCAATTATAACTTCAAACAAAGGGAAAGTTTCATAGTCCATGCAAGTTCTTGCCTAAGGAATATACAGTTTAGCCCCAAATCTCTTCAGTCTCAGTTTTCTTGTTTTTTAATTTCTTTTATTCATATGTGCATACAATGTTTGGGTACTTTCTTCCCCCCTCCCCCTACCCCCTCGCTACCAGGCAGAAACTATTTTGCCCTTATCTCTAATTTTGTTGTAGAGAGAGTATAAGCAATAATAGGAAGGAACAAGGGCTTTTGCTGGTTGAGATAAGGATAGCTATACAGGGCATTGACTCACATTGATTTCCTGTGCGTGGGTGTTACCTTCTAGGTTAATTCTTTTTGATCTAACCTTTTCTCTAGTTCCTGGTCCCCTTCTCCTGTTGGCCTCTGCCGCTTTAATGTTTCTGCTTTAGTTTCTCTGCATTGAGGACATCAGATGCTATCTAGTTTTCTTCTATATTATTTATGCTTCACTTTCACAGAACCAAAAGAAGGTAGAAGAAACACAACTCTACCACTCAATAAGGACAGTGTAAGTACCGGAAACATGAGTCCCTAGGTGTCAAATTAACACCCACACTGACAGCAGATGTCATGACTTTAAAGTGTTAGTTATGCTTTTTCTTTCTTTTCTGTTCTTTCTTTCTTTCTTTTCTTTGTTCTGTCTCTCTCTCTCTCTCATTTTATCATTTTTACATTTACTTACACGTGTATACATTGTTTGGGCCACCTCCCTGGTTATGCTTATAATGATGTAAAAAGTCCAGGCAAACAGAAACGTGAATACATCATCAATTATTTCCAGTCATAAGTCTTTTTAAAAACTGAGAGTAGAGCGCATACCTTAACCTAATCTACTAGTACCAGTATCTCTACAGTTACAAAAATAGTCTTTTAAAACCTAAGAACTATGTTTTAAGTGAATGTATATCTGACTTCCCTAGGTGTAACAGCAACACTATTATTATCCTGCTTCCTTTTAGAAACCTGAAGGAACTCCATTCTCACGCTCGTGACACTGCCCAGTTAGTGTAAGTTTTGTTACAGCATGCCATATCACCTTCTTTTCTCCAAATAAATAATGAAAAATGATGTGAGGAGAAGACGTGACTGATGGCTTTTGCTTCCAGGGAAAGGACTGTATCTCCAAGCTGCACATCACATCCAGTCTGTTTTCTCCTAGTTATTTTGGAGCAAGGGCCTGTGAACTCTTTGCCTAGGATGACCTCCAATCATATGTGGCTACCCTCTCAAGTACTAAGGTTATAGGCCTGAGCCACTGGCAATTGGCTTATAAATACTTAGAGAGATCTGTGGAGTATGTATGTCTACATTTTTTCTCTAGAACAGTCTTTATTCTTATTCTGGTGCCAGCCAATAAAGACAGCCACATGGAATCCTGCATCAATAGACTTGCTTAAGTGCTGGAAGGGGTGGCTTAAGAATTTCCTTGTATGTGGAACTGCAATTTGGATTCAGCACCACATGCTTGCTGCCCAGATTTTGTACCACTTAAGCGACGGTGCCAGCCCTTTGTGTGTCTTTTTGATTGTGACTTTCAACATGCTCTACATTTTATAGTGAGACAGGTACTTATTTAACTGGATAGGTGTAACAGGTGACTTTCATCTTAGAATGTTCCAACTTCTTTTTTCCCAATGCTGGGATGAAAAACATGTGAAATGATACATTTGAAAGTGTTTAGATTTTATCTATCTTGTTTCCCATTGCAATTTGCATATTGTCCAAGATATAAACAAGGATAGAAAGCATGTTTTCAAGTAGAACCAGGATTTATCCTTGTCTCATATTTTAAAGTGTTTATTGATTTTGCCACCATTGTATGATGCCTGTTCTGTCAAGAATCAATTTTCTCTTTACATTGAAATCTAGTGAGGACTCATTTGATTTCCTCTGAGATCTATTTGTAAATCTCTTTATTATAATGTAGCACATTTAATAGTAGAGTTTCAAGATTTCTCATTAATATTAGACTGTGCGTCACTTTTCATTCTCTTCTTTCTCTTGCCCTTTTTTCTTTTTATTCTTTTTTCAAGAGAATTGCTGTGTAGACCACTCCAATGCTTAATCCATAATGTTTCTGTTGGATTTACAATTTGGGCCTCTTTTTTGTCCTAAAGGAACAATAAATTTGGGCCTTATTGTGAGAATAAAGGATATGTTTGATTGCTAAAAAAAACTGAGAGTAGAGTGCATACCTTAACCTAATCTACTATTACCAGTATCTCTACAGTTACAAAAATAGTCTTTTAAAATATAAGAACTATGTTTTAAGTGAATGTATTTCGGACTTTCCCCTAGGTGTAACAGCAACACTATTATTTATTGAATGAGGCACTGTTCTAAATGTTTCAACATGTGTTAACTCATTCAACACTCACAGCTACTGTGTATCCACACTCTACAGAAACTGCAGCCTATACCATCCCTCATTGTAATGTGTACAGTGCCACAATCTGTTAGCGACACAGCCTAGATTTGAACTCACTCCCCTGGCTTAAAAGTCTTATTCTATAACAACTTCAGAAGCTGCCTCTAACCTATGGGACAAACCAGTGACAGCTTATTTAGCAAATCAAGATTTCGTTTCCACTTCTTTTATAGCTTAGTAGATTCTATTTTGATAGAAATTCAGTCACTGAGTACATACTTGAATACGTTTTTCATCATCTTCCCTTTTCTTTCTCTCCTCTTCTTCTTGTTTTCTCTTTGCTTCCATCTCAAGTTTCCTAATAAAAACAGAAAATTCTTCAACATTCTCAGAAAACATGAATCCTTTAGAAGGCAACTTAACTATAAATAAAGGTAACAGAATGACAGAATGAGAACTCAAATTAACCTGCTGGCCACATATATTACCAACTTATTTTGAATAAAAAAATTGACTATACTGACAACAAACCTTAAATAAAACAAACACAATTTTATTCTATAAAGTTTAATACTTCTAGATTAGCTTGGTTATAGAGCGTAGGTATAAGATCCTAATTACGTGCACTTCCCTCTACTACCTTTCTAACTCAACAATTCATATTCCTTCTGTCTCCCCTGTCATGGCAATTTTCCAAAATGTTATGAGTTTTAAAGACAGGAAAGGGAAGTGCATTTTTCTAGCATATAAAATAATATACAGTCACAACTTTCAAAAGAAGTTAAGAAATTCTAAGATGTAATGGTCTCCTGATATCAAAGCCAAACAAAGACACTACAAGAAAAGAAAACTTAAGAACAATATACAAAAATTCTCACCATAATATTAAGGTAGTCAAATTCACAGCATTTTGAAATAAACACCATAATTGAATAGGATGTATTCCTGGAATACAAAGGTAGTTCAACAAACCCAAATTAGTCAGTTAATGTAATAATATACATTAGCAGAATGAAGGGAAAGCCACACTTTCATCTGAATTGATGAAGAAAAAGCATTCATAAAACACAAGTACATGACAAAAAGATCCAACAAACTAGGGTAAAAGGACACTACCTTGGCATAATAAAAGCTATATGGGAAAAACCCACCATAAACACCACATAATGGTAAGAGATAAAAAGTTACTCATCTAAGATCAGGAACAGGACAAGGATATCCTCTGTTGCCTTCTATTCAGTGTAGGTTGGTAAGTTGTAGCCAGAGTAATTAATCAAATGAGGAAAGAAAAGGCCTACAATACAGGAAGAAAGATGTAAAATAATCTCCACTTGCAGATGACATTCTTATGTGTAGAAAACCCTAAGGATTAAATGAATGCGTGTATACACAAAAAAAGCAACAATTAGAGTCAATAAGTTAACTCAGCAAAATATCAAGATTCAAAATCAACATGCAGTGATTCCAAGATGGCAGCTAGAGGTAGGAAGCAGAAAGCGAGCCTCCTATAGTGAAATCTTGGAGATACGCTGGAGACACACTTTGCAGGCAAAATCACCGAGAAAAGGCATAACTTTGACCCCTCCACACCTCCAGCCGGTGCAGAGAATCTCCACTTCACGTTAAACGGAGAAACGAGGAGGGCCCCCGGGCCGGCCGCATCCCACTTGGGAAGACGCGGACCAGGTGAGCTTCGTGTACGGTACCCCCACAGACAAGCCTGGGCCAGAGCAGCATAGCCCCTGGACAGACTGACCTCCACCGGGAAAAAAAGAGAAACTGAGTAATAAGCAATAAGAACAGTAAGACACGCTGGAAAGAGGGTGGGGCGCCCTGAGCGCTGAAGATTGGGGAAGGGAATCCTTCCCGGGACTGTAAATAAACAAGCCGGGCGGCCGAGAGCTCTGGCGGAGCGGGGCGTGCGCCAGCAACCAGGAGCGGAAGCTTGTGAGAGTGGCGAGGGAGGAAAACTCCACAGGAGAGGAGGGAAGACCCACTTCCCACGTGAACTGTAAACAAACATGGCGGCAGGGAGCAGCAGCACCGCCCAGTAAGCAGGAGCAGGAAAGCTTGTGAAAGTGGCAGTGGGAGGAAAACTTCACAGGAGAGGGGGAAGACCCACCTCCCACATGAACTGTAAATAAACAGCAGGCCTGACAATGCGGGGCAGTGTCACCTTTCCCAGTGCTTGGAAAGGGGAAAGCCTGTAGCAGAGGCTCGCACAGGAGAACTCTGAGCAAACAAAGCCTGTGGGACCAGGTGAGTGCTAGCTCACCCCAGAGATCTGCATAAATAACGCCGCCAGCTACACAGGCTGAGAGCAGCAGGCAGGCAAGCCACAGTTGCAGATACCACTCTCAGAACTGTCTCCAGAGCTTTTTTTTCTTTTTCTCCCTACCTTTGATGAGAGAACAACCGAACAACCGAATTACACCTGCAAGCCGAAAAACTTACTGAAACTGTATTGCATTTGAACTGGGGACACTTGGTGGGGCTTTTTGTGTGTGTTGTTGTGTGTGTGTGTGTGTGTGTGTGTGTGTGTGTAGTTTGTTCTACTTTATGCATCCCCTTTGATGAGACAACTACAGAACATCTGAGGCACCACTCCAGGACTGGAGATTGAGACGGACACCAAATTATTAAGACTGAAACTTTGCATTGCATATAACTTGGAAGTTTTTTTGGTTTTTTTTTTTTTAATTTTCTATTTTCCATTTTATTTTAATTCATTTTTATATATAGATATTTACTTTCATATACTTATTTTTTATTTTTTTATCTTTGATTTTCAATCCTCTCTCTGTCTCTCTATGTCTGTTCAGCTTACTGTCGATTAGTACACTAACACTCCCTGTTTATACCTTTGAAACTCTCTTGTCTGATACCTTGTTCTGCTTTCTCCCTCTTGTCTGTATATTTGTTTTCCCTTTTCTTTAACTTCTTGCTTTCCATCTCAGCTCACCTTCCATTCTAATATTACCATTGTTATTATTACAAGCTAGAAAATACTTAATTCACACAGTACAGGGACAGTAACAACACCAAGGACAATGACGGAAGACAGAAAAAACAGGGAAACCAGTTTCCCCACAGCAAAAAATTAGTACAGGAACCAGAGGGGAATGAAGAGAACAGAAACTCAGATCCAGACTCCAACAAAATGAAGATAAACTATGCCAAAGGACCCAATGAAGCCCACAAGAATAATTTAAAAGAAGACATACTACAAGTACTCAATGAGAATTTTATAGAGATGATACTGGATAGGGTCAACCAAAATGTACAGGAGACACTCAAGAAATTCCAAGACAATAAAAATAGAGAATTTGAAAAAGCAAAAGAAGAAATAAAGGAAACCATAGAAGCACTGTATAAACACCAAAGTGAAAGAGAGAACACAATGAATAAATGGATAAATGAACTCAGGACAAAAATAGACAACAATAAAGAAGAAAACTGCCAGGATATGGAAAACCTCAGAAAAAAGAACGAAACAGAACTGCAAAACAAAACGGAAGGCCAATCCAGCAGAATAGAACAAACAGAAGACAGAATCTCAGAACTTGAAGATGAAATGGTAATTAAAGGAAAAACTGAAGAACTATTAATTAAACAACTCAAGACCTGTGAAAAGAAAATGCAAGAACTCACTGACTCCATCAAAAGACCAAACTTGAGAATCATGGGCATCGAAGAAGGAGAAGAGGTGCAAGCGAAGGGAATGCGTAATATATTCAACAAAATAATAACGGAAAATTTCCCAAATCTAGAGAAAGATATTCCCATACAGATGCAAGAGGCCTCCAGGACACCAAACAGACCAGATCAAAATAGAACTACTCCACGACATATCATCATTAAAACAACAAGTTCAGAAACTAAGGAAAGAATATTGAAGGCTGTAAGAGAGAAAAAACAAGTAACATACAAAGGTAAACCCATCAAAATCACAGCAGACTTCTCAACAGAAACATTAAAAGCAAGAAGAGCGTGGGGTGAGATCTTCCGGGCACTGAATGAAAATAACTTCAACCCCAGGATACTCTACCCAGCAAAGCTATCATTCAAAATAGATGGAGCAATAAAAGTCTTCCATGATAAGCAGAAACTAAAACAATATGTGACCACAAAGCCACCATTACAAAAGATTCTGCAAGGGATCTGCACACAGAAAGTGACACCCAACTTAACCATGAAAAGGCAGGCAGCACCAAACCACAGGATAAGAAAAAGCAAGACAGTAGAGAGTAACATCAAGTTAGGTACACACAATCAAACCTTCAAACAACTAAGACAACTAAATGGCAGGAATCACCACATACCTATCAGTACTAACACTTAATGTTAATGGACTTAATTCACCCATCAAAAGACACCGTTTGACAAAATGGATTAAAAAAGAAGATCCAACAATTTGTTGCTTACAGGAGACTCATCTCACCGACAGAAATAAGCATATGCTTAGGATGAAAGGCTGGAAGAAGATTTACCAAGCCAATGGCCCCCAAAACAGCAGGAGTAGCAATACTTATCTCTGACAAAGTAGACTTCAAACCTACATTGATCAAACGAGATAAAGAAGGACATTCCATACTAATAAAAGGGGAAATAGACCAAAAGGAAATAATAATCATCAATCTGTATGCACCCAATGTCAACGCACCCAATTTCATCAAACATACCCTGAAAGACCTAAAAGCATATATAAACGCCAACACAGTGGTTGTGGGAGACTTTAACACCCATTATCATCAATAGATAGGTCATCCAAACAAAAACTCAATAAAGAAATCCAAGATCTAAAATATGCAATAGATCAAGTGGACCTAGTAGATGTCTACAGAACATTTCATCCAACCTCTACACAATATACATTCTTCTCAGCAGCCCATGGAACCTTCTCCAAAATAGATCATATCCTAGGGCACAAAGCAAGCCTCAGCAAATATAAGAAAATAGAAATAATACCATGCATACTATCTGACCACAATGCAGTAAAAGTAGAACTCAACAACAAAAGTAAAGACAAAAAACATGCAAACAGCTGGAAACTAAATAACTCATTACTTAATGAAGAATGGATCATCGATGAAATAAAAGAGGAAATTAAAAAGTTCCTGGAAGTCAATGAAAATGAAAACACAACCTACCGGAACCTATGGGACACAGCTAAGGCAGTCTTGAGAGGAAAGTTTATAGCCATGAGTGCATATATTAAAAAGATTGAAAGATCCCAAATCAATGACCTAATGATACATCTCAAACTCCTAGAAAAACAAGAACAAGCAAATCCCAAAACAAATAGAAGGAGAGAAATAATAAAAATAAGAGCTGAAATCAACGAAATAGAAACCAAAAAAACCATACAAAGAATTAATGAAACAAAAAGTTGGTTCTTT